GTGAGAAGAGACACTTACAATTCAAGGGGGAAAAATGAATTAAGAAGACAGACTAAGGAGACAGATACAAATATAGACATTTTAGAGTCCATAAAACCTAGTGACAATATACCTTGAAATGCTATCCATGTTGTTTGATGCTTGAGTTTCTTTTTGTAATGCAAATTCCTGCTACTCATTGGCCTAACATAAAAAAACAAGATATTATCTGCCAGTGTTTTTCTCTGGCTTAAATGCAGATGTACTGCGGGTGACGTGATGGTAAATTTGAGACTTTGAAGCTGGACTGCAGAGCCCTTGGTCACACTTATTCTCCCCTCTGTCAGTTTTTTGAAATGGAGCCATGGGACAGGCAAGCTCTGATGGCTAAGCAGCTAATGTCAACACTGGACCTCAGAGAGTCATTTTGGATAATGTGGCACTGAGTGCCTGAGTCTCTGCTCCATAAAAAACAGGTGGTCCCAGGGTCACCCCTCCCTTCTCTCCCCCTCACCTCCTGTGCTTAGCATATCTCATGCCTCTCTCCCTCCATTTCCCCTTTCTAGGTCTCCCTCCACCATTCCCTCAGCACACACGAGAAAGGTTATTTGAGCAATTGGTGGTGATTAGCTCTTGATTTGGCTGACTATTTGTGAGATCAGGCCAGTCCACGGATGCGAAACCCACTGCAACTGAGGGCACAGCTGTTCGGCCAGGACTGAAATTGAGTGAGGAGAACCGAAATGAGAAATAGGGGAAGAAAAGGGGACAAGAAACAAGGAAAAACAGTTTTCAAGGGTTTGGCTGGCAGGTAAAATACCTCCAGTTTTCTACTTGTTATTCCAGGTGTAGAACCTCATGAAGAAATTCCTTTCTTTCAGCTACCTCCTTCCTCTATTTCTAATCATCGCCCGGGGTGGAGAGCACAAACAAGAAAAATGTGGATGCTGGTTAAACGGGTTTACCCCAAAGTGATTTGGGGGGGTATGCGCTTGCTTTGTTGGTTGGGTTGGTTGGTATTGGGCTTATGGTTGGCCTACTGCCTCAACATTGGTGGCTAGGCCAAAGAATTTTTCTCACAATAACAGCTATTCCTTCTCTGAGTTTCGTCATCCATCTATCCATCCACTCTGCTAGCCAGGCAAAAAAAGGAAGGCCTCTCACTATCAGAGTGTTCAGCCAACAAATCCCCACTCCGCTCCTTTGGCCTCTTCCCTACACCCATATATTAGGCTGACGGCTGTGGAGGACCCAACACCGAGCCAGCTGAATAAAACAGATTAGGCACCCACCCGAATCTAACAGCATGTAACTCCAACCGTTGTGCGAACTTTGGTATTCTTACTCCCAGGAACAAAAAAGGTTGAACGAGGTAGCTGAACGACAAGAAATGTTGGCTTTAGCATCTGCAGTAACTGCATCCTCAGTTGTTTTTAACTGTATACTTGTGTCTCTGCAATTTCAGTCTTGGTTTTTAGAGCACAAGAACAAGGAAATCATATCATATCTGTAATCGTCTCTAATCATCTGCATAAACACACTGGTGAGTACAGTCACCATTTGAATGCCAGTATCACCAAACAGAACTACAAATGGCGCCAACAACGATCCAATGCTGTCACTATATAGAGAAAGCATGTCGCTGCTGCTGAATGCACAAACCCTCATTTTGCACACTATAGGTTTTTACTGCATAGATAACAGTCATTCTGCAATATTGTAATTCACAGTGTTGTCTTCAAAGATAGAGTTATGTCTTTAAATCAGCAATCAGTAAATTAAACACTTTGGAAATATGAATATTATATGACTCTATATATTTGTGCAAATCACAAAATTAAATCCCTCTGTGTTTTGCATTTTAAATGAGAACATAATTTTGGGAGAGAGAACTTGATGAAGGTTACTGGCTCTCAAAGACAGGATCTTGGTAATAAAATATTAGAGTTCACAAGAACGGGGTAAAAAAACCCACAAGGCATTTATTTTTCTGGCATCTCTCAGGCGCATTCAGCAGCCTCCAATCAGCAGCTACGATATGGCTCGGTGTCAAGAATGCATCACTTTGGCGGCAGCGTGTTTGCTTCTGAGCTAGATGTGAACCAGGGTGGGAAGAGCTGCTTTGTGTGCGATGCTACAAACGCCGACCTAAAAATCATCTTTGACCCGTCTCACTTCCAGCACTCACGAGGGGTCGATACAGGATGCCGTGTACACACATAAGAGCACGACAGTTAGGCCGGCTAACATTACTGAAAGTCACCCACAGTTTACTCTCCTAAATGTACAGTGCCAAATTTAGCGAGCATTTATGTTTAACACAGAGGCTCCCCGGGAGAGCTGATGGGGCCGACGGCCAGGAAAGGAGGTGTTTTGTGCTGAAGGGGGACTGGGCATGTGGGGGGGAATAAAACCTGAGGGGAACCCAGGGTGCCGCAGACTGCAGAAGAGTCGCATGACCTTTTCTACAATGCTGCCACCCGCCTGCCACTGAAACACAGTCTGGCTAATTAAAGTTTCAGTGGCATTGAATTTTCACTGGCACAGCACACCCCGGGCAACCTTGGGGGCTTCTAGGCAGGCGATACACAAAGTGGGAAAGACGGTAGATGTAAGAAAAGAGGCAGAAGGTAGCAGAGTAAATGCATTTAAAGAGAGGACAGCCACTAGAGGACAGCACGGCAGATCCGAGCTGTAACAAAAAGTCAGTGGATTTTCATAACACAGTGGAGAAAAGCTATATATTAGAATGCAAATCTACATTCACAAACATGCACGCTCCCTGGGTATTTTACATAAGCTCCGACATGGTTTGCCCTTCCAAACAGTTATGCTCAAAATATTCAAGATCACATGGAATTAGAAATGAAATTGAAGCTGTCCAACTCTGTACAACTGGGTGAATGCAAGAGCTAAAGCAGGAGATATCCAATGTCAAAATGCTGAGTGCTTTTCCAAATCTTATCGGGCCGCCTCTCAGCCTAATGGAATCTCGATGGGTCAGTTTCAAGAATAAATGCATGACTTATGACATGGCTGCTGGGAAGATTACCAAACACACTGGACAGCATGTTCCTTTCTCCAAAGGATCATTGAATAATTGGCCAAGTTTGACCAGGACATTTCTGAAAATATGTCCAAGAAAAGGTTATGCAACCAGACAGACTCGCTCATGGCCTGTATTTCACAATCTGCCGGCCTTGTCTCCATTAATGATCTTGACCCCCTTTTCACCATTTCAGAAGTGAAAAGGGTTTAATGAAGCTGAACAAAGCTGCTTGTGTGTGTGTGTGTGTTGTGTGTGTGTGTGTGTGTGTGTGTGTTGTGTGTGTGTGTGTGTGTGTGTGTGTGTGTGTGTGTGTGTGTGTCTGTGTCTGTGACTGTGTGAGACACAGAGAAAAAGAAAGCCTGTGTGGCTGTGTGTTACAGCTTGATGAGGTCTTGGTCTGTGATTCCTTGGGGAGGTGGTCCAATCTAGGCTTTATTAGGCCTTATTGAGCTGTGTGCAAGCAGGTGTGTGTGTCTGTGTGTTTCCTCTATCAAGAACATTTGGCAGAGCTTTATGAGTACCTTTGTGTGTGTGTGTGCGTGCGTGTGTGTGTGTATGTGTGTGTGACACCAAAAGACACCGAGTTGGTTGCAGTTTAATGGGGTGTGCATGGACCCGATTTCAAGCCTGTAATTTTCTTCTTAGAGGTGATTTTTTTTGGTTTGATTGCATCATTTGTGTACACAGGCACAGCTATGCTTATCAACCAGCTATGCTTGGGTCTAAGCATGTGTCATCCTGTGAAAAAAGACACTGTTTGCTGTATGTAGAATACAGATCGGATTTATTGCTACATGACAAATAATCGAGTTGTGGCCTGCATTCTACCTTGAATATCTCACAATATTTTTTTCAAATACATAGAGAAACATAGATACGGAATCTTTATTAGGTCCTTGAAAGCACAGATGCCATGCATATTTTTTTTCATTAAAAAGAGGAAACAGACATTTTTTTAATCTAGTTAAACAGGTGAGTGATTATCATGCAAACACAGTAAAAATTACCTGTATTCTAGGCGGGTTAACTATAACTGGTAGCTAGCCATTAGTACAATGTTCTAATGGTGTATGTCTGGGATTTGCAGCTAGTATAAATTCTCTTCAGGATACCTATACGTGTTTATGTTGTATTATATCTTTTTAAAAGATGACAGTTTCAACTGGGATATTGACAAAACTAAACGCACGCTGTGATTCACTAGCTTGTAGAATCATCTTTAGCAGTAATATCTTGAAGAAATCGTTTTCTGTTTAACATCATCAGATTCCCACGGTTGCTCATGTACAGCTCTTTTAAGGTCCAACCACAGCATTTCAATCAGGTTGAGGTCTGGACTTGGACCTCAAGGTCGGAGCCATTTTTAGCATTTTATTTTAGATTTGCTGCAGTGTTTGGGATCATTGTTCAGATGAATGATTAAATTTGGGACGAGATTTAGCTGCCAGACAAATGGCCTCGTATTTGAATCAAGAATATTTTGGTGTACAGATGAGTTCATGGTCAACTCATGGTGCCCAGGTCCTGTAGTTACAGAAAAACACCAAAGCATTATTTCTCAATCACCGTTCTTGACAGTTGGTGTGATGTTTTGATGCGCCTAAATGCTCCAGACCAGCAAACTGCCAAAACTACTGCTCTTACAGCTGCTAAGCCTCTTAATTCCTATGGACACAGTAAATGTGTGCTTAGTTTTATTTGCAGGACTCCAACAAAATAAAAAAGACAAAAATCACCAGTTTGTACTGGGGTATGTTTTGTCTTTGTTTTGTTTTCATAAATGGCACATATGGTAAAAAAATCGAAGGATACATATGTGTATCTATAACGTACACCTGTTCTGATAAATGCTTGACAAGCACAGCGTGGCCAAGAGCGGCACACAATTATGTAAATGAAAGAAATATTTATACTATTGGCAAGAATTACAGTATAACCATTGTATTTAATGACGATCGTTCCCAGTACTCACGGTTGGCAGAGTTTGATAAGATCCTGGTCGGTGGTCCCAGGTGGCAGGCCTCGAATGTACAGGTTGGTCTTACTCAGCTGCTCCGCCCCTCCCTGGCTGCAGCTGTTGGTGCTGGGGCTGGGAGGAGCCATGGGATGAGGGGGTGGAGCATAGGGCTGCTGGAAAGAGAAGGTAAAGAGAAAGCAAGTCAATACAAGGTTTCATTTTAAGACAGCAGGCAGAGTCAAAGCATTTAAAGATTCTCAGAGCATGATTATGAACAAGAATATGGCAGCAAACGCATGTTTGCTTAAAGGAATGGAGAAGTGATGGCAGCCTTAGTGGGGAATGTCTCTGTCAAAGCTTCTCTGGTTCTCATTTTAGCAGCTGGTATGGATTCGTATTCATGTTACTGTGTGTGAGTCCCTCTCTTTGAAACTTCTGGCCTCCCCAAAATTTATAAAGAAACTAAGAGAGTGACCTCCTGCATGTCATTATTAAAGAGAGATGGCAAAATGCATTTCAAGGTGTTCAGCTGTTGCCAGTAAAAACCAATGAATAAAAACAACCACACAGCAAAGTTTCTCTTTTTTCAGCAGGGGATTGTTTTTTTTTTAAATGCGTGTGTGATCATTGGTTGTTGGACTGAGGGTGGGCGACTGGAAAATTTTGACACGTCATCCAGCCGTAATCCTACTGTTCTGATGTTTACAGCAGCTTTAAAAGACAATGAGAAGTGAGGTGTGAAAACATTTCTTAGACAGGAGCAGAAAATGTGAGAGAGAGAGTTCAAAATGTTTCATTTGAAGAAACAGCAGGCACTGCCAGCACAATGTCCCCGCAATCGCGAGACGAGACATTTTGGGGCAGCTGTGAAGCGGCGAGGAGAAGCGAGCAGGGTCACTACGAGATGAAAACCCAGGAGAACGCAAGTAAAAGTTTCAAGAAAGCAACCTTAGCCTCAAATAATAATACTGCGAGGAAAACATCTTCATGTAGAGAAATAAAAAGGTCTACACAATGACAGGAAAAGTGCTTCGCTTCTTTCAAACTTTTATCACCTTCCTGCTTAATAAAGCAATAGATTATATCTGGTTTTGTAACTTTCTGGGCTTTTTGCGCATATGCAACTGGAGTTGAGGGGACAAACATTTCTTCATTTTGCATCTTAAATAAACATTTCACCAAGGTGACTCTCTGATATTAGAGTTCACGAGGCTCCTAGCAGCTTATGAACAGTTTTAAATGATGGCAACTTCCTGCTTTCTACTAATACCCTCAAAACCAATTTCATTACACTGCGAAACAATTTACACCTCAGAGGGTGTGAGATCCTGATGCAATAATCCAGTACAGCCTATTTTATAAGCATCTCAATATGAATGAAATTTTCAGTTTAATCTCCATCTCACAAAATGTATTCAAAATGTATTAGAATTATGATGCCCCAACCCCTCCATTTGTTTTTTTCTTCTTGCCTTTCCCATCTCCTGCTTTCCTTACGTGCTTGTTGTGCTGTTAGCATAGATTTATGGTATAGGAGTCAGGGCCCCCCGCTCACAGCCCATTTATATCTCTATTGCAGGGACACTGCACATAGTGACAGAGAGAGAGCCGGGGCCCTGCGGGCATGAACAGAGACACAGAGACAAAAAGCGAGGGAGAAAACACTAAAAGAGAGCGAGGAAGGAAGTGAGACGGAAGAAGAGCGAAAGAAACCACACTGCAATAAAGTGAGTGAGTGATGAATGAAAGGGAGGAGAGAAAAATGGTCAGGGAAAGAGGGGGACATGACTAAATACCACCACCAGCTCCAGTTAACCACGTTAACCCTTATCTTCCCTAGAGAGAAGCTCAAGACCTCATACCATGCTGTAAAACCCCCCCACATATCCACGCACATACACCTACACGCACACAGACACACACACACACACGCCATTAGCCCTCCAATCTGCCCCACACGTTAGCAGCGACTGGCGGAGCATGGCTGATTTGATGTGCTATTTTAAGCGTGTGTGCCATGCCAGCGTGTCGCCTCCCACTCCTCAGACAAAGAGCCGGGGTCCCTGGAGCGTGAAGAGGGAGCCACGTCCATCAATAGACGGCCAATTACCACGCTGAGCTTAGTGGAACTGATGGGCAGCCACTCACTGTGCTGGACTCACCCACACTGTACACATGTCGGCCGTTGTGCATACGCTCACACTCACAGACACACCTATGCGCCACATGATAACACAGAAACAACCTTTTTCAGAACAGTCATCCACAGCGCGTTAATATTAAAGCTTTAATATTAAAGTGAAAACAACTACTGTTTTAGGTCTACGAATGATGACCATCAGAATGACTTTGTACATTTAGGGAGTCGACGTCCAAGTTGAAAGAAGTTTGAAATTTAAATCCAAGTTTCAAGCACACAGGTCCGATCACCACAGACACAAATTTCCCTAAACTTCCCCCATCCCGCCCCCCACCTTGCCTTGCGCTGTTCTGGTAGCCTTGGTTGCATGGGCTTGAATGAAAAAAGCCAAACTAGTCTCCGGTCATTCAAGTTTCCACGCTGTGGCAGTATAGAAGAATCTTAATCTCTCGAGTGCCCTGTGGGACTTGTTTTTTCTCACTCAAATGCACAGCTGCAGTCCAAGCCTTGACTTTGAGGCTTTCACCTTAGGTCCCCCCCGTCCACTCGCTAGATTTTTCTCTTAGCCCGCTGCAGTTTAAAATACACACATGGTAATTACCACACTGTGTGACTCCAACAAATTCGCAGCACAAACGAGAGACACTAGACAGAACCTCTTTCAGCGTTCAGTGTTAATTAATAGCCCCTCTCTCGCTTTCTCAGGCTTTCTCTCCCCCCACTTCTTTGTTAGCCCCCATGGTGACACACACAGCGCTGACTGTCCTTCTCGGGCTCCAGGCTTGGCTTCCATGCTTACTCTTTGGAATTCATGTGTCCCGCCCTATCGATTTGCTTTCATTTTTCTTTTTAAGGTCAGAAGCTGAAATCTTACACAGTGAGGCATGGAGGGTCAAAACCAGTCTAATACTTACAGGGATGGGTTAAAAGGCAGCATGCAAAGGTATCCACTAGGAATCCCCTGGGATGAAGAACGCAGTCTGTGCTAAAGGCCTCAAAGGAATGGTTGACTATGCGGTTGGGGGTGGGTCAGGGTGAATTTAATGGCACATTTTTAAAAATACTTACTACTTTTATTTTATATCTGGAAGAATGTGGTAAAAGTTTAGATATGTTGGGTAAAAACGAAATGGAAAAAGCTCCGCGAGAGCTCCTCAAATCTAATCATTACTCAAGTAACTCCATCATTCTTATATGAAGACGATCCTAATATCAGCTTGCTGTGCTGTGTAGGAGCCATATATGTAATTTAAGTAAGATTTCTGTTTAATCTTGGGGCAGTATGTGAACTTTTAAATGCAATGGATCCAAGACAATCCTGGACACAACTGGTTTTCTCTGCAGCACAGACACACACACACACACACAGAGCACAAAATGTTTCAAACTCTTTGTTTTATATCCATTTCCCTCTTTGCTTCTGCTGGTCGCTGCACTAGAGGTTAATATCCAGGCTTGTTTTTCTTGCCGGACAGTTTCATGACTCCTGTTTACCCTTGGTCTGTCAGCCTGCCAGATCAGGCTTCTCAAATATATTAAATACTAGCCTCATGTGTCAGAATGATGAGGACTGAGTATAGCACTTGGCAAAGAGTAATTTACCAAAAAGGGGAGGGAACAGAAGACTCGCGGGAAAAAAAAAAAGGATGGGAAAAATAAAAAATAAAGCAAGGTAGAAAGAATTAGAGTGAAATAGAAGGGTGTGAGAAAACCGCTGGTTATGACACTTCAAAAACCTCCAGGTGGTAAATGAGAAAAACCTCCGTTCTGCCTCCTCCCTACCCAGCTGTGACATGCCGCTACAGAGGCTTACTTGGGATTTCAATTTGCTGCACTGTATTTTAGACAGGCAAAATGGTTTACACAGGCCCAATTTACCGAGCCAGTCGTGAAGGGGGGCTCACAGCCTCTGTGACACGCCAGGGAATGTTTATGAGTGTATTAAGTGAGGATGATAAATCTAGCCTACGTTACATAGGCTGAAGGCGCATGGCGTTGTGATGTATATTTACACACCCACACAAGGACAATGCATTTTTCCCCTAAACCACAGCTATATGCTTTTTTTTTTTAAAACCACTGCTAGACTTATAAAAGGCTTAAACCTGCTTTGGTCACTGCGTCACATGCATGTTTGTGTAGTGTTTAACAAAATCGTCCCACTGTGAGAGACGGTGAAAACCAGTGAGCTTACACAATGCTTAAATTCTGACTCAACTTCTTAAAATATTTTATAAAACTTTACCACTTTGTGAATTTACCAACCCATAAGGGAACACTTAATCTTTCACTTAATTTCTAAAATAAAAAAAATGAAGATAAATGGTTTTCAGTGGAGGGAATTAAGACAATAACTTTATAAAGTACAAGGTTAAATTAAACATGCACTTCAGATTTAAAGAATAAGGATTAAAACAGAACATTTACTTTTTTTTTTAATTGTGATGTAAAGTCTATGACAAGCTACCTTTTTAGATAGCACCTGGATTGCTGGCTGTCCCGATTTTAGAGGTGATTACATGTTCAGATAAAGTGGCTTCTTACTTCTATCAAAAAAGTGTGAAAACCTTCTTTGTGACTACACATAGAGAACAGAGCAGAGGGCAGCCACAGCTGTAATTGGAATAAAAGCAGGCTTATGCCATCCCTGTCTTTCTCCCTTCCTCCCTGCACTCCGCAGGGCAGGGCTGTGACTGGAGGAGAGGAGGCTGCACACTAGCGTGGTAATTGGCCTTGATTTATAGGAGGCCAGAGCAGCCAGCGAGAGCTAGCTCAACACTGGCACTAGGCCAGACAAGGCCACGCTGTCAAAATCAGTAAACCAGCCTAACCCGGCCCAAAGCCCCCCATGGCCAAGACACCACTACTGGGAATCAGTCGTCACCATCCAAAGGGTGCGCACATGCGTATGTTCTTGTGTTATTGTCTATTTGATATTCTTTGGGTTTCTGTATTTGCTTGTGTTCAAAAAGTCACTCGAGTAACACACACACACACACACACACACACACACACACACACACACACACA